GGCACCCGAAGGCTGGGTAACAGGATCTCACCTTTAAACACAGAGTTATGTACGGATGCCAGAGATACGAGCCAATTCCTTTTTCCAGGTCTTTCCCCTCCTGAAGCTGTGAACTCTCAAGGGCACCCTAGAGTCTGCTAGAGAGGCTGACATACTCATCTGCCTGCCAATCACTGCCAGTCTGCTTGTTGGACTTTCAACGGCAGGGCTTCCACATCTGTTCCTGTCCACAAGCTTGTCCTTTAGAGAGAACCCAGTTCAAGGCACTGCTGGAAGGAAAGCAGTCTGCCAGAACCTGGATTCCCAGGTCCTTTTAGCGCCTTATTTCCATGGGGAAAATGCCCACTCTCAGGAACTATGCCAAATCCACCAGTCAAACTTATAAGAACTGCAAATGAAGAGCAAGCCATGATCCCTCTGCACCAATCACTACCAGAAAGCTGTCTAGAGGCTATTGTAGTACATGAGAACCTTTCAAGAGAGTATTAACTTCGTCTGCTCTAGGCTTTTAGAGGTGATGCCACAGTGTTGGGGGGCTGGGAATAGACAGAGGTAAAAGTGGGTCCTCACCTGAGCATCTAATTATGAGGGGAATAGTCTGCAGGACTACTAGATATGTCTCCCATGGCTCGCATGTGGCCAAGGATAGGCATGAATACATCCCCTAATGCAAAATTGTAAACTTTCCTAAAAGACTGTTTTGTGACTTTTGTGTATGTGTTCTTGTGTGAACACATGTGTATGGGAGTGGACATATACGTACGCTCATGGATGCAGAGGTCAGAGGTCAACGCAGTGGTCTTCTTCAATCACTTTCCCACCTTATTCAAGACAGTTTCTCTATCACTGAATATGAAGCTCAATGATTCAGCTAATCTATCTGGCCAATGAGCCCAGTGGTCCTCACATCTCTGCCTCCTCAGCATGCTCAGCTTTTTTTTTTTTTTTTTTTTTTTAAATACATGGATTCGAGAATCCAAAATTAGGTTCTCATGCATGGATGTCATGAACTTTACCAATGGAGCCGTCCTTCCATGACTTTCTTTGGTAGCTTGATTGCACAGTTCTCGGGCATGAACTTTGTAGATAATAGTACTGTTTTACAATATCAGACAGGTGGCCACTCCTGCATGAGTCTAGAAGACTGAACTTGGCGTTTGAGTACCCTGAGATGTAAAGCTCTCTTCAGATTCCAGGACAGTACAAGATCAACAGAACGGAACCATGTGACCCGGGAGGTCTAACTTGCTATGCTTGCTCTAAAGTTGACAATGTCCTGTGACTTTCTGGGCCATCAAGAACTGGGTTGCTGTCCATAGGACAAAGGTAAATCCTTTAATTTTTTTTACCCTTAATTCTCTACAACACCTGTTTACAAAGGCCAGGGGAGGCTGGGCAGTCTTCTCCGAGTAACTATACTGGGACTGTACAGTCATCTGGGTTGGAGAGTGGAATCAAAGCAAAACAAACCAAGGACACAAAGATTTTCTTTCACCAGAAAAATGAAGGCAATGGAGTCACCATGACAGAACACAGCCTCTATAGAATAGACACAGTATGTGTAACTCAGCTCCACTGAGGTGGTTAACGTTCAAGGATACGCACTAAATTCCTGAAACCCAACAACAAAAGCAAACATTAAAAGATCCTGGATTGTATGGTGAAACCCAACAAACGCTGACATTCGTCCTGGTTCTGGTATACATGTGATCAGATACTTCATGCTCCCCCTGCCTTGACTTCCCCACCATGATAGACTCAGCTTTGAACTGTGAGCTAAGATAAACATGTTCTCTCTTGGTTGGTTTTGTCAGAGTATTTTATCATAGCAACAGAAAAAAAAAAAAAAAAAAAAACACAAGATAGCAAATCCCATGCCCTTCTTCCTGGAGTTCAATCTGCCTTCTGCTCATGCCAGCCTCTCCTGCAGGGTTCTCAGAGTGACAGGTTTGTCTGCTGCATCCTGCACTGTCCTCTGCACAAATGCTAGAGCCAAATCTTGGCATGCTGAAAGCCAAGGTCAAAGATTAAAACAACCATAATAATAAAGTGCATTCCTCTAAATGGAGCCATTTATTTCTTGATGCCTCAAGGAAGGAAGAGGAGTAAAAGATTAGCTCTGTAACTAACAAAGTCAATAGAGGTAAATGCTGGCTAATCAACAAGAAAGGAAACTCCAGCCAAAAGCTGCCAGGCTGTCCTCTATCAATATCCAGCCCTGCCTGGTAGGAACATCCCACAGGGAGTTTCACAGGTCCTTAGTTAGAACAGCCTGGCTTGGCATAATTGCTCTGGCTACTGCCTATCTTGCACTATTTGGAGAACAGACAAGGGAGCTATAGAAAGAGAAGCCGGTCTCATACCTAGGCGCTGGTGTCTGGAACTGTGCTGTTCAGAGGCCTGCAGAGGGGCTGGTGGGTAGCAGCCACCACAGTTTTTAAGGGATCCATAGCCTTCTCTACTCTACAAGCTACCTGTGAGTCAGTGCATGTGGAATACAGATGTGGCATGTGCTGTAGGCTCCTGGGGTTCTTGCTTGTATCCCGAGTAAGTGCTTATTTCAGGGTAGGACTCTGTGAAATAGTCACATTTAGAGATAAGAAATGAAGCAGCTCTTTCATAGTTCAGAACTCTTCTCAGTTCTAATTCTATGCTGAGATTTAAGGCTGGCCTTCAGGGCCACATTTGAAGGAAGGCCTGGAGACAGCAGGTTATAATCACTGATCAAATTTTCTTAACCCTATGTGTCTTAGTCATTTTTAGGTTACTGTAATAAAGCACCCCAACAACAGCAACATAGGAAGAAAGGGGTTTGGGCTCATAGTTGGAGGTCACTGTCAATCACTGGAAGGAGATCACAGCATCTGGAGCCTGGGTGGGCAGTCACACTGCACCTTGCAGTGAAGCACAGAGCGATAAATACTTGTGCTCAACTCACATTTCCCATTTTAATACACTCTGGGACTCTAGCCCAGGGAGTGACACCAGTCACAGTGAACAGGTCTTCTCACTTGAAATCTGATTACCTGAAAATACTCAAGGTAGTGTGTGTGCGCGAACACGCATGTTCACATGTGTGTTGGGGGATGTGTGAATAAGGAAGAACCAGTTATTGACAGTCAGGCAGTCAGTTCTCTAAAGAATGCAGGGTTCTCACAATGCTACAGCAAAACTGAGCAGAGCAGGTGTCCTGCTGACCACAGGGAGAGAGGCCTGCCCCAGGAGTCACTAAGAGGAAGCATCTCCCACTGCTGTTTGTTCTTCATCAAGCAAATGACTTCTTTTTACATTTAAATTTTTTGTATTTATCCAAGTTTATGTATATGAGCGTTCTGGCTGATTGCATAGCTGATATCCAGAGAGATCAGAAGGCACTGGACCAGCATCAAGCTGAATTTACACTGGACTAGCATCAAGCTGAATTTACAGGTATGTAAACAACCATACAGGTTCTGGGAACTGAACCCAGGTCCTCTGCAAAGCAGCATGAGCTCTTAATTTCTGAGTCATCTCTCTAACTCCCCATGTTGTTTTTTTTTTTCTCCCATCCTGATTGTTCTCCTGTCCCCACTGCTGCAATGTTTGTCTCTCCTTCTTACTTTCCATATTCCATCCTCTTCCATCCAGTTCATATCACCTTCAGCAGAAAACTTTTCCTGGCTGTATAACCATCATGGCCTCTGGTTTTAATCTCAGGCATCACCAAGTATATAAACCTGAGACTGGCCCTTCTACAGTTTCTAAGGCTTCTTGCATTATTTACCTTGTGCACGAGACTTAACTCTTCAGCATGCTCCTGAGGTCTGTGTGATCCCAGAAATATAGTTTAGCTCTTTTCTTATGCCCCATGCAATATGGTCCAATAGGAAAGCACTGCTGAGCCAAGGCATCAGAGGGAAGTGAGAGAGCCTGTCTACATGAGAAGTGGCTGCTTTGAAGGGAATTCTCCTTTATGCTACCTTCAGGGCGTTCCAGCTGTTCCAGACCACCAAGCTGTGCTTCCTTAGTGTCCCTGTTCTTGAAGTGCTGCAATCCATGGGTTTGGGTTGCTATTTTAGGACAGAAGCAGTACTTCTAGGAGAATGGAATCTATTCTTAGCTTACAGAGGTCAACACAGTTGAGAGAAGAGAAGAGCCAGAGGCATACAGCCCTCTCCACATAACTTCATGTTAGTCTAAGGTAATACTGTCAACAAGACTGGCTCACAGCCTCCCTTGAAGCCATAGGAACAGCCAGAGAGGGGCTGTGATCTGCAGTCATTCAGCTCTTGGTGGCAGTCTGGCTAGAGAAAGCCAGTCTCCTGATATCTCACCATGAGTTCTTCCCTCTAAGCTACATGGCCTCACCCTGAAGAGATCAGTCATAAATAAAAGCCCGTCAGTTTCCTCTAGATTCCAGAAGGAAGAGAACCCATACCAATGCTAACATGTAGCGCTAGTCTATGCAGAACTGGGCAAAACTGATATTAAAGCAATCGCCTCAATTGAGGACAGTGAGATCAAGAGGTTGACTGAAATATAACCTAGCAGATACAAAACCTGACGGAGGCTTCCAGAATGAGGATGGACAGCCCATTTCCTTCTCAGGGTCTGTTTTTTAGTAGTAAAAATAGATGCCTAATCTGACCCTGGTGGTATTCAGTTGTAGTCTCTATAACTGGGAAGCTGAGGCAGGAGGATTTCAAGTTTGAAGCCAGTCTAGGCCACATAGTAAGACTGTATTTTAGGAAAAAACAATGCTATGAAGGTTTGTGATAGGGGCAGGGATATCAGCGTCTTGACAGGGCACATTCTCCCTTGGAAACTGTTACCTGTATTATAAAACACTTGGTGTGTCTGGTTTGGGGTTTGGGGTCGACATCCCCAAATGCCCCTACACCTCACTAGTTCTCCTGGTTGGAACCACTGGAAATCCACTGAGTCCATTGCTGGCTCCCAAAAGCCAACAGGAACATACTCATGACCATCAGGTAGAGTGAACCCTAGGGGTGCAGGCCTACCCGTAGATATCCAGGACCCCAATGAAGGAGTGCTGCTTAAGGGAGGTGTGCAGGGCCTTGTTGATGTGTTCCACAATCCAGGAGAAGAGCTGGGCATAGATGTGCTTGGCCAGGGCATCGCGCGCATTGACCACTTGCTGCAGGGACATGGTCTTGACGTAGGTCTCTGAGGTGGTGACCAACTTCCGATGACACAGCCAGTGCTCCATCTGGCTGTACTCTATTCCTAGCAGGCGGCAGAAGTTGCTTAAGTGTTCATCCTGGGGCTGAGGAAAGGAAGACAGGGTCAGGAGGGGAATGGGAAACAGGCTCCTGTGCACACTCCCCGTCCTACCAGAGGCCAACTGCCTCCCAGCAGCACCTGTGGAACTCCACCCTACTGGCTTAGCCCCCACACCACATATCAGGTAAATGTAGAGACGGAACCGTATTGCTTAAACTGACCCTCACACCTGCCAATGACCATAGTATGAAGACTTAACAAGGTAAAGCACTGTGCACTGCGCTTGTGACCCTTCCTGATCTGCCAGGTAACTGGTAGGAGGGGACAGCACAGGTAAATGGAAGAGCCAATGAACTGACAGCTTAGGAATGCAGAAGCAGTCCAGAGTCAGGAGCCAGAAAGTAGCAGGTGCGAGCTGAGCACGCAGTGCGCATCTGCAGAGGGCACAGGCAGCACTCATGGAACTCAGCAGACAGTTCTAGGCCTCCCACTCAAAGCCCTTCACAGGAAAGCTGTAGGTCTGCCTGGCAGGACATGGGAAGTATCCTGATGTTTTACACACTAGTTCTCTAAATCGTATGTGACTTCAGTGGGTGTGTTCAGATGTGCCGGTAAGGAACAAGCCCAAACCTAGTGGACAGTGTCTCTCAGCAATCATAACATGCAAACAGGCTCCACAACATACCTACCAGATTCCCAGCTAGTACAGAGGGCCTCCTTTGGGTCCTGACGAGTGCTTACCAGTCATACCACCTGGCTTTTGAACTACTAGAAAACCAAAAGTCCCCACAGGGATGTAACTCTCTTCACTAAACCATCTAAGTCTCTTAAAAAAACCCCTGCTGCCCATTTAGGAAACCCCACAGAAAACCTCTCATCCCTGTGGTTATCTTCACCCTCATCTTGTAAGTGGCTAAGTAAGCTTATTAACTCTGAGGCTAGAAGAGAATCTGTTAGATTCAGAACATGATTTCCTAATGGCTCTAGATTGCTTATGGGTCTCAGTTTCTGATGAGGCTGCCTGGAGCATTGAAATGAGGGCTTATTAATAAAAAAATTAACATAGACAATGTTATAATTCCCCCTTCCCATCTTATCCACAGGCCATTTCCCCCTCTCAATATGTAGCTGTCTAGCCAAGGCAAACCTTAATATAAAATAGGATGTTAAAAAAGAATGCCCCTCCTCCAAATCTCAAGAATAGTGTGTTCCTCAAACATGGGTAGGGGTACAGCCTGGAGAGACCACTAACCTGGTTTAATCAGTGTTGAAGCAGGTTCAACACAGCTGAGCTCATAAACACCAAAAGATAGGCAGGTTAAAGAACATTCCCAGTCTCATCTGGACCAAAAAGCCTCATCTCTGGAGTCAGGTTCCTGCTTGGCAGCTGTCATTCTGGTCTGTCCCACATTACTCAGACAAGGAAAATCGGGCTGAGGAAAGCTCCCTGACCACTCAAGCCAGGCCTCTTGAGTTGCTGGCCCTGGTATGTGGAGATCCGTCCTTCCCACTCACTAAGCAGTTAACGGTGTCATGGCTACTTCTGGCCACAGGTTCCATCTGCAGCCACCCTACCCGTGCCTGCTCCAATATAACGCTGCCATTCAGGGTAGAGTTTGGAGCCTGCTTAGCAGGCAACAAGTTCATAGGTGGCAAGTGCCCAATTTGTTCATCTGACCTATTTTTAGGGATTTCTTAATTGCTAGGTACACACTACAGATGGATCCCCTGACATTTGAGTGGTTTGCTTCAGCAAACATGGGCCTGCTCCCCTCTTTTCTCCTCTTTACCCTTCCTCTTCCTGCTCCTCCCTCCTCTCCTCTCTCTTGCTATAGTATGGCAGAGAGTGAACCACAGTTAGGGAGCTAACTCTTTAATAGCCACCAGGGACAGGTTTCTAGACACCACAGCGGGACTTCTGTGCTCCCACCCACTTCTGACTGTTGATTAAAGGTACTAACAGAAACTGACTGAACGTCATGCAATTACATTTAAGCATAATTAGATGGTGATAAATCCATTAAAACAGGCAGCATTACAGACAGCAGCATTACAGACAGCAGCTTAGTTTTATGGGCTTGCATTGCCAAATTCAAGGGGAAAAATGGCCTCTGGTATCCAACTAATTGGACAGTGTTTCATCTCTGAGGTAACTGTGGCAATCACGGAACACATTCCCATGACTTAATTAAAAGTGAAAACTCCAGAGCAGAAGGCACATGGCTTGTAAGTAGACAGCAAACCCACCAATGGTCCTGAGGAGCATACGGGAATCCCTCTGAAAGTGGTTCTCAGCAGTGGACTTCTCTAGAGCTCACACTTGGGCACCGTGTTTAGAATCCACTGGGTCACTGGCAGATGTGTGTGTGTGTGTGTGTGTGTGTGTGTGTGTGTGTGTGTGTGTTGGGGAGGGGGTGGCCCAGGTCTTTTGGTAAAAAAGTTCAGCTGATTGAGTGAGAGGGAATGGTAGGGGATAGAACCAGCCTGTGCCTGTCCTTGGCAGGGACATTAGTCATCCTGTCTTTTAAGAGACAGATTTTTCTCTGTGGGCTTTATTTAGGTTTCTTGGGCATTATTAGGTGTTGCTCTGTATAGGAATAGGCATGTGCTTAAGGTCTATTCTGGCCCCAACAACCAGAATGGTACTGGTTTAAAATTTATCATCAGCTCTGAGGGAAGGCCTTCATGGAGGGCCCTGTTCTACAGAGTGTAGAGGAGGAAATGGACTTAGGGAGCTGAGGGAATGTCTCTAAAGTTACATCCCTGAGAAATGATGGGGTCGGGATTTGAACTCTGGCAACCCTGATGCTGTCATCACTCCCACAGCCTAGACCTTCAACCCTGCTAGCAAGCCTCCCATCTCAGGCCATCTTCAGCTGTCACCTGTATCCTCTGTCCTGATGCATCTTTGTGCAGACCTCACAAACACATAGTAACACAGTATATCCAGCAGAACACAATAGACGTGGCCCTACAGTTTGGTGGTGGTGGTGGGAACAGGCACTGATAACAATGATTCCCCTCTACACTCCGCCCCTCTATCTGAACACCCAGGAGTGAAGGACTATCAGTGACACTGTACCTACAAGCTCAAGGCTGGACTTTCTAAGAAAGTGGCCGTGGTCCTCCAGCGCGGTGCTCAGAGCTTTGCTCCCTCACTGGTACCCACTGAGCTCTGTCTCATCCACACTGGCTCCCATCTTTATTACCACTGAAGCCTAGACAGCCTCAATGAATCACCCAGCTATTCATTCTAGAGTGCCAACTGGGCCCTGCACACTGCAAAGGTGACTAAGAACATAGACTTACTGCCCTCTCAGTTTGGAAGAGGAGGGGAGAGGAGAAGAAGGAAGAAGGAGGAGGAAGGAGGGAAGAAGGGAGGGAGGGAGGGAGGGAGAGAGGGAGAAGGAGAGGGAGAGGGAGAGGGAGAGGGAGAGGGAGAGGGAGAGGGAGAGAGAGAGAGAGAGAGAGAGAGAGAGAGAGAGAGAGAGAGAGAATAATCGCACAAGGAATATAAAAGTCATTGTGTTAAGCCTTGAGAGCAAGGGAGGAGTCTGTGTAAGAATTTGTGGCAAAGAGGTTTAGTGTGCTGTGGAGCCTAAACCTTGATCTCAGGCAATGCTCACACTAAAAACAACTCAATGAAAGCTCCATGACCAAGAGTGTGACTCTGAGACCACCGGCGAGAACAGGGGTGGTATGTGGCTAGAGATTAAGAAAATATTGGTCACCTCTCTTACATGTCCCCAGCCTAAGCCAGGAATTTGTCAATGCGTGTCCTCCCAGTCTTCCCTGTCCCTTGCAGAATACGGCTGTGCTAAGGATACATGGGGCATTTGCTAGGAAGGGGTGTGCAGAAGGGAGGCATGAACACTGCACACTTTTTTCCCTATGGCAAAGGGCCAACTCTTCATCAGCCTCAAACACTCACTACCAGGGTCGGCTAGAGCTTGTATTCACCAGGGAGGCTTCTTGTAATTCCCTCCTTGTCATTAAAAGCATCATGACTGCCACCTCTACTACACCTGTAGGCTCGCCCTACAGGGCACACATGCATGGCAACTTGTGTCAGATGTCAGAGACTGCTCTGGGATACGTACTGTGAGCTCCTGAATCTGTACCTTTCTCAGAGGCTCAGGTGGGAACCTCAAAGCTCTCATGTGGGGCTGGAGGACAGGTTGGGGAGGAGTTCTGTTGAACCTAAAGAGTTCCAATGATTCCCTCCTCGAAGGTAGGGGTGTTTTGAACTTCTGCCAACTCTTGTTCTACATAGATGGCAATGGCAGTAAATGGGAAGGGCAGTGGCTGCAGCTTGTGGCTGGAACGGACACATCCACATCTGAATTCTCCAGTGACATCTGTGTTCTTTCCCTAGAATCTGGTTATTTAAATTCCACATCCCGAGAAATAAGAATCACACATAGTGCTTTCTTTGAGGCTAGTCACAGATAGGCACAGTGAAACCATGGCAGATGAACTTATTCAAGGCCAGAGAGGAGTTTTAGCTTTGATCAACTGCACCGAGTTTCAGAGAGGACACAGATAGACAGAAACTGCTGTCTATCCTACCAACATGAGGTCTCTCTAGCATATTGTATTCCACACAGCCTCCTCCTGTTTACCACATGTCAACTGCGACACTAGGCTCAGGGGAAAGGACGTTTATGAGCCTTTAAGGAACTGTCAGAGATAGTAGAATCTTGACTGAGAGGCCTCACTTAATATTCTGCCTTCTATGGGGAAAAGGTCAGCCAGTGCCATCCTGTCCTGGCTGCCCAGTTAGAATGCAAGCCCTTTAGAAGCAATTGTCAACTATGGTGTCCAACCCTCCACTTGCTTGCTGCAGAGGCTTCAGCCTGGAGCCCACGTGGTACTCAATAGATTGATGACATGTCGTAGAATTCTATGTACCTCAGAGTACTTGGAAAATAAACCCATCAGACAAATTTATTGACTGGCCACTAAATCCCTTGCCCCAGTGATAGAAACTTGAAGGCAGCCGATTTGAAATGAATTGGTTCTTTAAAAAAAAAAATTATCAGCGAGAAAACAGAAGTCATTACTGCTTAGAATAAATAACCCAGGGGTGCCCTCTAAGCACAGAGGTGAATGCCCATGGTATCAGGCTGGAGGATCTGAGTTGACTGTGCACATTTTATATCTGGTGCCACTTACTAGTATGCTGCAGGAATCCCCATCCCGCTCGGCCTGAATCTCCACACTTCCAAGGTGCAAGATAGAAGCAATTATCTTAAAGATGCTTATTTGATGGGACTCTCGCACTCCTGAAGGGGAAAAAATAACATGAATGACACTCGGCATCTGTGCTATGATAGAAAGGACTTTTTACCCTTTTCAAGGACTTTAAAAATTGTTTGATTTTCCTTCCTGGATTAGGGTTAATGACTCCTAAAACTAGCCAAGCCAAGTAATTACCACTCAAAGTAGCATCTCAACATCAAAGGGGCAACTGGATTGAAGGGGAAATATCCTCACTGATTGTCTGGATCACACCAGATGGGTCACGTTGTGATTTGAGCATCTCTAAGGGCACAGAGGGGCAGTGGTAGGATTGACTCATTTTGGACTTCATTTCAACCAGAGACTTTATGGATGCTTTTATGAGCTTAATAAGGATGGCCATTTATCTGTAGTTGTTTTTTTCCCCCAAACCTAATATCCGGCAAACATCTGTGGCACAGACACACGGCCAACAGGGGAAAAGCAAGGAGAACCTTCCACCACACCCCTGGGATTACTGTTCTAGGCACTGGCTGGCCAGCTGGCTTATGGTTGGTGCCAGCTGAGAGTAGCTGTTCGTCTTCTATGCATGCCCCAACACCGACAGAAATGCACACAGCCCAGAAACACTATGGAAACAGACTTGATAGTCAACTTTGCTATTTGCCTGTAATTTAGATTTAGCTGAAGGCATTAGTTCTTTCTATGTTTCTAAAGATCTCAAACTTATTAGCAAAGCTAACAGATGATGAATGTTAGAAAAGTTGCTTTCCATCGAGGAAATGGCAGTTCCCCAGATTCCTCCTCAGTCGCATCTACTTATCCTTTACTTGAGCTACAGCTGCCAGCACACTTGCATATAAATGGGAGGCAAAGCCAGAGCTTGCTAGGATCAAAAGTTACCCCAGGTAACCCCCAAAGTGGGCAGCCCAAGCATGAGCTCAGCGAGCCCTCTGTTAATCAGCAGGGGCCCTCAAAAAGCCATGTTGTACTACAGGAAGCAGAAACCAAACACTCCATGAAAAGCAACTACAAAGAGTAAGTGACCCAACATGACAGTCAAGAGCCCATGGTTCTGAGGAGAACCATGAAGAGAAAATGGAAAGACTACAGCAGCCAGAGAAGTAGGGTGCCTGCTCTCAGACACGACAGGGAGGCTGCACTGTGAATCTCAGCCATGAGGTAGCCTAAAGGAGACCTGCACAGTGACCACAGTAGCTGGCATGCCAGTGAGGATGGGCTATGTCACCAGGTCCTGTGCTTAGATGACTGGCTACAGGTAGCCTATAGTTGCTAAGGGAGGGGAGATCAGTGTCTTCAGAGAGGAGCTCCCTGATCCGTTACCTAATCCCAGTGGTCAGTCTCAACAATGTGCATACAAGCAACATTGGATGGTCTGAATACACACACACACACACACACACACACACACACACACACATATATCACATATATAACAAAAATAATTAAATAAGAGACCATAAATTTGAAAATGAGTGTTGTAGGGGGGGCACAGGATGGGCTCCTGGGGAACAGAAAGAGTAGAAATGATGTAAATACAGTAGTGATTTAAGAAATTCTCAAGAAATTAAACATTTTTTAAATCACCAAGTAAACCTAAGGAATAAAAGAAGGGCCAACAGCCCATGGCCACAACGCAGCGGGTGTTTGTAGAACTCATAATAATAGCCACGCCCACTCGGTTTATCTGAAGCTCTCCGCAGGCTACGCAGCAGAGATGAGCAGAAGCAGCAGAAACTAATAAACTCTTTACTATCCTGTATCTTATACAAGATGATGTATTTACAACCTTGGTAACTAAGAAAGAGGACATTTATTAAAGAGCAGTGAAGAAAAGTCTTACTAAAAGAATTCCATAGATGTGTTCTACTTTGAGAACTACAGTATTTATCTCAGAGCCTGGGAGGTATCTGCCCCCACCCCCATCAGCTCCTGCCCAGTGCTCACAGCAGCCCAGAACAGGGCAGGTGCATCTCCTGTTGGAAGGCTCGGCAGGACACATCCTGCTCTCCATCAGGCATCCTCCTAAGTCTCTGACCGTGGAGAGCAATAGGGTGTGTGATGCTGGGGGAAGAGAGACTTGCAGACATCAAAATATTCTCTATGTCCTCCCCTTCCTCAGTGAGCTGCTCTGTGCTGACTCGCAGGGCATCAGGGTTCTGAACAGAGGTCCCCTCAGCGATGCAAAGGCAGCAGAAAGGTGGTCCCCATCCTGGTTCTGGTCCCTCCTAGGCATCACCAGTTACCTGGGAGCCAAACTTTTTTGCTAAGCATATATTAGGCTTATGGCTCCACCACACCTAGTGTAAGCACAGGGTGCTGGTCCTTACCCTTGAGCACACTTCCCCCTCCTCCTGGACAGGTCTGAAGTTCACCTACAACTCTGGTTGGTTCCTCTAGCCATCAGTCCTTTCGATGTTGGGCCCCTTCCGCTAGCCATAGCAGTGCTTCCTTTGTCTCTGTGACCTCTGCCCTCAGTCCACTTCAGCCTTTTCCACAGCTAATCACTTCCTACTGCTCTGGTTATCACGGTACTCTCTTCATGCTGGAATAACCTGAGTGTTTTCTGCTCCTGATAATTCACAGGTGCAAACGATGATTTCTACTCATGCCTCAGCTACGCAGGGACATGACCGTAGCACACAAGCCCTTTAGCTCCTCCCCTTAGAGATGAGGGTGTGTTCAGTTTGTTCACATTTAATTTGGACACTGACAGAACTTGGCTTAAACCACAGATCTGAACAGATGCTGTTCTGAGCAACCTGGCAGAGAAGCCAGAGGCTTTATCTCTGTCCCAGAAGGGGTGGGGAAGATGTAGTGGCCATCTGAGTCACTTTCTGAGGTTCAGACTGCCTTATGCTTCCCTTTCCCTGGCTATAGACCCCAGGATTGACCGTTTTACCTTCCCAATCAAGAAAGATTTACCTTTCATTTCATGAACCTGGGGGTGCTTCCCCCCCAAAACAGGCTGGGGTTAGGGACAATTCTCCCCAGTTCTACTGAGCCTCTCTGCTACTGATAGTCACAGAGAAAGAACTCCCTGCTTTGAGGATTGCAACGCTCATGCTAGCACACCAGGATTACATGTCCACAGGGCTCTGGACCCTGGGGTCTGCTTCAGCTCAGATCCCGTGGCTAGTGCACAGGTGGTCTGGCTCAGTGAGAGGATCTTCATGGGGTACATACTGCCTCTGAACTCAGTCCACAGTACACAAAGACATGGCTTCACTGGGCTTTTCTCTGTGTGTTTCAACAGCTGAGCAAGTGATAGGATAATCTGCAGTACCTGGCTTAAAAGTGTATTTCTAAGAAGGTTCCAAATTCTGAACTTTAGGCCTGTGGACTGAGAGAGATGAGGGTGTAAGGAGAAACTCATCAAGGCTCAGAGGACTTAGCAGGGAAGCCAGCAAGACCTCACCTTGCTCTCCCCCACCCCTGCCCATGGTACAAGCTACTCTCATTCAGAAGTTCCTTACCAAGGAGTGTAAGGGCTTGTCTAGTCTTCTCAAAGTCCTCTGCATCATCCACACCCTCGATGGCTGTGTTTCCTCCGTGGGCTGTATAGAAAAAGTCCTCTGCACACGCTGTGGGAGGCGGGAAGAAAGGCGTGAGACATTAGAGAGAGCTCCATTCCTCATCGCCCACAGTTCACCTAGGATGTCTCCTCTAGCTCATGCTAGCTTACACCAAATTCTATTGTGGGCCTGATGCAGAATCCTGCAGAATACTCTTTGTCTACAATGGGAAATGCAAGAGAAAAGCAAATCAAAAGAAACTTGTATTATACTCAAAGTGTGTGCATCTAAGATTGGCGTGGGGAGCAGGCATGGTGAACATACGGTAGGCTAACAGGGTCACAGAAGTCCAGTCTACCATCGTTCAATTCAGATTTGACTTTTCAAAGGGCTGCACATCAATGAAAATGTACACGCAGAGTCACATTCTAGAATCTCCTACAGCTAGCCTTAGGAGATCCTCACCTGGCAGTCTAACGAGAGGCAGCGGAGGGCGTCAGTGACTTGGTTTTGTCTATTTTACAAGGTCCTCCCACACAGGAGCTACTCAGATGTAAGGATGAGGAAGGGCTATCCTTATGTGCTCCCTCACCTCTGGGGTTCCCTCTCCCTCAGCCATGCCTCTGACAGCCTTGACAGCTAGTGAGAAAGGAGAGTCAGCGAGGTGCTTTACAAGGGAGAGACGAGCTTAGCAGAGGGCAAATATGCAGTGAGCACACACAAGCACACAATGTTTAAAAAATATCTTTGGGGCATAGAAAATGTGAGGACAGCCAGCTAGTAGCTCTGAGTGTATGGAGCTTGGTTTCTACGGGATGCCAAGACTGGACATGTGCTATTCTCCTCTTTCTCTGAAACCTCCCCACTGAATTCTTTTCCCGAGACCTGGACATGCAGATTGAATACATATCAGGTAACCACACTCCATAGCAACTGCAAGCCTTTCAACATCATGCCCTTTGATTTATCTCCCAAGAACATCTATGGTCCATTTCCTTTCTCCCTGCTGACTACCATTGCTGTGGTCTGACCTTCAGCAAGTGTTGTCTAGGGGAATGTTGCAAAAGATTCTAAACCTGTCTTTGTATTTTGCTCACATTCTTCAAACCCAGCCTGCAATGCTGGTAACTTCAGCCACATCCCTCTGCTGCACGAAGCCCTTCAACAGTCTCAAGGCCCTCAAGGCAAAGGCTCAAGTCCAAGGCCTTTGTGACATGACCACTCCCACTCTTCCAGATCCTCATTCCTTTTCTGTCTCTGTGATCTACACAGTCACCTCACAGCCACGCCTCAGGCTTTCCCTTTGTCATGCTGTCAACAACCCCTATGTACCTTTCCTTTCCCATCTCTACCTACATCCTGGTACTCTGATGTAACATCGATGTTCCAGGCCACAGCGAATTTAGCCAATAATTCTGGAAATTGCTATGGGTCTGAGCTAAACACAGTCAGGCCCAGCTGGAAAGTATCAGAGGTCAGCACTGAAGTTCACCTTGACAATACAGCCACAACTATCATAGGCTAGACCAATACTTGAACAGGAATAGAGGAGAAGGCATAGGCTATCCACTGTGTGCTAAGAGAGGTTTCCTGGAGGTAATCCACACTTAACGTACTTGGATGAGTAGAGGCTGAGATTCTTGAACTGGAAGAGAAAGGAATGGACCCATTCAGAGTTTCAACAGAGGTAAAATTTATGACATATGCTCAAAACATTTTCAGCACTTTCATAGCTAATTACTCCATGAACTGAGCGTGCAGAGCAAGAATAGATCCCAAAGGTTAATAAAGCTGCTCTTCTTACACTGACCTTTCAAAGCAGCTTACCTTCTGCGTTCCCCACTGCTACCTAAGATGCCTTACTACATGCACCCACTTCTCAGCATGTAAACTGAGGCTTACCACAGATGACCAGAATGGGAAGCCCACTACTGGAGCATTCCACTGAAGAGATGATTGATCTTTAGCATCCCATGACTTTGATTTTTTTTTTAAATACTCATTACTGAATGTCAGCCAAGACAGCAGAGTCACTGGAGACTAAAGGGGGACATCTGGCTTCCACATTGGAGGAAAGTCATTTACAGCATCTTCAAAAGATTCTTCACTGTCACCAGCCAGGGCCCCACTGCCTGCTGTTCTGAGTCTGACAGACACCCCTACCTCTCCTGCTCTGCATTTCCAAAGTCTGAGGCTGAGGCTCCTTGCTGCAGATGCCACCTGGCAAAGCATCTGACTGCCATCAACAAGGGCATCTCTGTCCCCTCTGCATCTACTTGCCCCAGTCACTAGTTATCACACAACAGACCCTGTTATTAAGAGACAGGCAAGCAGCACAGAGTTAGTCCTCCCCTGTGCCTGGCTGGCTGCAGCTCAGTTCTCCTCCAGTCAGGTCCATGAAGCCAGCACTCTCCTTCCTACCCACGACATCTTCTCTCATCATGCAGCTGTGACTCTCTTCCCTGCCCCCTCCCTCCCTCCCTCTAAGAATTTCTAAGTACATGTGTACACTACAACACCTACTAACTGGTTCACCAGACAGACACCAGCCCCAGCAGTCAACAGATCACAGAGAGGCCATTATTCTATGATGAGAACACCAAACATCAAGGTCAATGTCTCAGAACTTGGACCTTACCTAGGGCAAAAGGTTGTACTCTGACTTGTGCAAGGCCACAGTAACTCTTATAAAACTGGATCAATGGGGCTGGAGAGATGGCTCAGTGGTTAAGAGCACTGACTACTCTTCCAGAGGTCCTGAGTTCAATTCCCAGCAACCACATGGTGGCTCACAACCATCTGTAATGGGATCCAATGCCCTTCATGGGTGTGTCTGAAGACAGCTACAGTATACTCATATAAATAAAATAAAGAGATTTTTTTTAACACAACCATGAGGGTGAATGGAAAGGGATGGGAACTTGACCAGGACTTATTCCAGAACAAAGTTTCCACAGGAGTTTGTGAATTTCCCATGATTGTAGGGGGAGGAGCTGATACTAAAAATCTGGTTTCCTAATTGGTTCTTGATTTAGTCAATAGAGTAGATGAGAGTCAGTTGCTGGGCAAAAGGGAAAAGGTGGGATTTCCGGGTCCCAGGAGGAAAGGAAGGGGCACAGGGAAAGGGGAGGCTTTTGGCAGGTTTATGAACAGGAGGCACGTTATAACCATGTAAGATCTTGGGTGGCTGGAAACTGTGGCCTTTGCCACTGGTGGTTGACTAAAATAGGTTAGCTGATAAGAGCCCAGCAATTGTGTGATCTGGCTAGTTTTAAAATGATAAAGCTGTTTAGTGTTTTTCTTCCTTGGAGGTAGGTGGGCAGGAGAGCAACCGGGGTGATAGCTTGGTGAAGCTAGCCAAGAGGGACAGTGGAGTGCGGATAGCAGCTTCCAGATTTCCCAGTTTGGGGATTGGTTGGGGTTCGATTCTGGGCTAAGCCAGATGGAGCAAAAGGAACTGGGAGAGGTCAGATCAAGGGCCTTGGCACCAGGCAAAGGACCACTTTACACATACAGAACAATGGAATGGAGGAAGAACATGGGTTACAACACACCCACGTCCTCTGTCTTCCAACAAATGTACAAGTTATGCCAGGGCACCAGACTTGCAGAGATTTTTGTATAATGTGTTTTAGATTACGGACAAGGATTACAGTGTCTAGAGAGTCACTGGAGCTTCAGGCTAGTCCTTCATTTATTTGACTTTCCCAGCTATTTATCAGGGTTATCAAGGAAACCAGAATCCAGGCTTCAGGGCTCACAGCCAACCCACCCACAGGCCACAGGGAGCCTTGCAGGAGCTTTTCATAGGCTCTTCAGTTCACTCCAAGGTGCTCTCCGAGATGTAAGAAATTGATTGAATTGGGTAATTTTCAAGGGCTCTGGCAGGGCAGACGCTCAGAGAGTCTGTACCTTGCACAAATGGAAAATAAGGAAAAGACATTCTAAACCTCATACAACTCATGTAAATGAAAAACTTAGACAACTTTTTTATTAAAGTTCAGGACAAGGTGGCCAGCCAGATAGATCTTGTCAATATTTGATTCTCCATAAAACAACCTTTAGAAAAACAGCTCCTGCAGGCTGACTATGAAAACCCTGACCCCTGGGTTCCAAGTAAACTGACTTTTCTTAGGGGAGACTTTGCCTGAGACTGTGTTTCTCACAACATACTACTTCCCACTGAATACTGTAATTGACAGGATAAGCTGTGGCAGAACCCACAGCTGGGTCATACACAATTGCATCAACATGGCCTGAATCATGTGATATATAAAAAATACTAGAGGAAGTTATCCGGAAGGAAGCAAATCCTGCAACCATTTATGCTTTGAACAAGAGTTGCCTCCAAAGGCAACTAAATATATATTTAGTTACTAGGGAGTGCAGTATTTTAAAAGATTAGAAGGATTAGGTAGTGTGGCCTTATTGGAGGGAGTATGTCACTGGGGTTTGGCTTTGAGGTTCCAAAATCCCATGATAAAATGATGAGCATTGTATAAATCTCGAGATCCTCTGAAAGTTACCAATTTCTCATGATGCAGACAGAAGAAACATTTTTTCATAAAGAAAAATCTGTGCATGTGTTATATTATATACATACATACTTGTGCAGGTGTGTGTGCATCCACAGAGGCCAGAGTCACATGGGATGACTTCTTCATTTCTTCTCTCCCCTATTGACACAGAGCCTCTTACTGAGCCTGAGCCTCTATTCAAGCTAGGCAGACTGAGTGGCTGTGAACTTCAGGAATTCACTTCTCCATTACCCAGTGCCAGCATTCCTGACATGTGTTCACACACATGGCTTTCTGGGTATTCAAACGCAGGTCCTTATGCTTGTGGGGCAAGCTCATGAATGACAGAATCGTTAGCCCTGCGGCACGTCTTTTAAATAGGTGACACCTGCACTGCTCTGCAAATACACTTCCATCCCTCCAGCTCACTCCTTGTATGAAGCCTGGAAATAGTTAACCCTGCAGCATCACTAACCTGCAGTAAGGCTCTGATGGGACTAAGGTGCAGGACCACAGTAAGGGCATAGCTGAGACAAGAATCTACAACCGAGGGCTCTGGGCAGAGCTGCTATTTGCCTGCTGTGGCAGCCGTCCTAGCAGAGGACCCTGTGTACCAGGATGACTTACTTAGAGCGAGTTCTTTAAATTCAGGAAGGCTGGCAGCAGCACAGAGCTGGTAAAAGATATGGTAGTTCCTCTCATCATCCGCCTGGAGAGGAAAAGAAGATCAGTTTTAGGCCGTGGTTCCCAGGATCGTCTCCTTGGCCATTCTGGTCCCAGGTGTTCCATCCAGGTGGCACGAGCCACCTCCCTCAGCTGTTTCCTCCATGCCTCAGACACTTGCAATTTCAACTGACATATTTTCCATTTCCTGTGACAGGGTCTTTTCTTCTCCCATGAGGGCATTTACCTCTTAGCTTTTGTGGAGGCAGACATTTCCTTTCCTTTCTACATTAAACACCAAAGCCATGCCACAAATGGTGGGTCAGTTAGCAAACATTATCACCCTTGCTGCTTGACTGATGCTCTTCAGATCTTTATTTCCCTGTTGGAAGCTCCCTTTCTTCTCTGGGACTTGCAACTAAATAAAGTTAAGCTTGCCCACTGTGCTGGGCCAGGCAGTCGGGAAGGTCCCTGGAGATTTTCAGTGGATGCTCATGACTAGAATGATCTTAGATTAGCTGGGAGGGGAATTGAGGAGGTGCACAGAGAGTTAGGAGGTAGAACAGGTAGAAACAGTAGGTAGAAACAGTCACAGAAGAAGAAAGTTAAAGTCATGATGGAATGCAGGCAGCTTGACGATCCACCCAACAGAGCTTCAAGGTCCTCTGCCTAGTGAAGGAAGAATGCAGGGCCGTCCAACCAACCTGTGAGGGAAGGGGAGCTAGTCTGAAAGGTCATGGAATATTTGTTACTCATTAACAGGAAGACATCACTAAGGAACCACTCAGGAGACTCTGGGGTTCCCGTGGACAGCTGAACGCTGTGGGCAGGGAAGCCACTGTGCACAAGGAAAAGTGGAGCTGTCACCACTGAATCAGGCTACTTCAGTTCAGTGATGAGAGGGCAAAGCTGATGCAGGAGAATGGTGGTTGAGGTTGCCAGTAGCGCTGACCATCACCAGAAGAAGGAAGGAAGGGCTGAGGCAGAGGCCAGGGATAGCTGAGCAGGAGGAAGGGGAGGGTCGGCAGAGACCAACCAAGGACCATGATGGGGAAAAAGTGAGTGGTGTTTATACACACTGCTTCCTAAGAAAGAAAACCAAATGTGTGTGTGTGTGTGCATGTATATGTGTGTGTGATGTGTACATGCACATATGTGTGTATGTATGAGTATTTCAGCATATCTATCTATCTATCTATCTATCTATCTATCTATCCATCCACATATTTTTGACCCACCAAACAAGCATGTTCCCTGGAAGCTGCTTCTGGCATTCTCAGATGGTAAGACTGTAAAGCCAGCTGCCCTTTCTTTAGCCCTGGATCTAGTGCCAGGCAAAGCAATACTGTGTAAAAGATTCATGGAGACCTAAGGCTTAGTCTACATGAATATTTACTCTGAAAGAGAAGAAAGAGAATAAGAACATTGATTCCAGGCTAAAAAGACGGGCTTCTCTGTGAGCACAGGGAGTGGATGGGACAATAATGGAGGTGAAGTACGAATAACCAAGTCCTGTCACTCACCTGAAAGACCACCCTGGACTTCTCCAGCAAGTAGGTCCTCATGTTAGCCCCAATGATGTGGTACTTTTTATCAAAGCCAATCTCAATGTACTTCCCAAATCGGCTGCTATTGTCGTTGCGAGTGGTCTTGGCATTCCCAATGGCCTGGATAAACAGACAATAGAAGTGTAAAAAGTGAGGGCAAGCTCTGGGAGACAGCTCAGTGAGTAATGTGCACAGGCATCTCCCACCCACCTCAGCGGCTCACGGGCTTCTTGACTTCAAGACTGCAGGCCTGTGGCAGCATGGAATCCCTTCTTTCCTCCCATATACACCCACTTCTGCTATTGTGAGGACAAAGGGCTGAGTGGGAAGTTCTGCTTGGTTTACTTAAAATGAAACTAAAGCAAACTCTGATTTTCAGACCCTTTTACAATTATTGGCCATGCTTAAGAGCCAGTTGTTGAGCAGAAGACTACTTAAAGCCAGGTAAGGGATATTCTAACACAACGTTCCTCTCTTCCTCTTCTCCTTTCTGTCTTGAATACACGTGACAACTAACCTAGTCACTCTGGGCCCAGAGAGTTGGAGACCCTGGCTCCAATGTTGTGGAGCCACCAAATCAGTGCTTGTGTCCACAGTTCTGAGAGAGAGTGCTGCTCTCTCTTCCTAACCTACTCCCATCCCTCATGCAACCAAGCAGCCAAATGTCCACCTGTCAACACACACTGGTGAATGGCACTTCCTGGAAAGGCCACCAAATGACACAACCATCCACTAGGATCAGGAAGTCACCCACACTAGGGGTTATTTCCTACATACCAAGGCCACAGATTCAACAGTACAAATATTTTTATTTTTGAGACAAGGTCTCTATGTAGCCCCAACTGGCTTGGAATTTGCTATATAGGCCAGGCTGGCTTCCAATTTACAGCAATCCTCCTGAGTTCTAGAATTAAAGGTGTGTGTTATCACAACTAGCCCATAATACTCTTTAAAAATCAGTCATTCAATAACTGGTCTCATATGATGGTTCAGTTTCTATAAGTCACACAACTAACACACCAATAAAGGATTTTTCTTATTTTAATCTCTTATTCATTCACATTTTTTTTTAGGTAGTGAAAACACTTGGAAAATTCCACTGTAACATTTTAGTGGTCTAGAAAATATAAAGTGTCAAGAAGTCGAAAGAAAGATCCAAACCCATCCTCTAGTTCAGGCCAGCCTAGTCCAATCAAAGGTCCAAGTTTTTCTATCTGCTAGTTTCAAATCCCAGTTGGCCTCTGATGGAGCTGAAAGCTTATCTCTACTGCTTTCCAGACCTGAGAGTGACTTCTAACATGCTCACACTTCATGAGGACAACTGTCACTGCTCCTGCCCTGGAGACGAGCAGAGCAAAGTGAAGCCAATTCCTCGCTCTCTGCTGGGGAAGTGGTTCTGCCAGCACTGGTCTACCCATGCACATCTCCAGTGTTTGCAAAGTGATGTCCTATGGCAGAGCACCTTTGATCTCTGTCTTACTGCATGGACCTGGCCCACATCACCACCGTCTCTGTCCTAGATAATGCCTACTATCTGTCTATACATTTCCTATGCCTAACCTTGCATCTTGCAGTCAATATTCCTCTTGACTAACTGAACAATCCATGAAAATTGTGAACCTGATTATATTCTTGGTGTAAATGCTTCCGTAGCTTCTACCCTCATTTAGTTTAGAACCTCAGCATGGCCACGGACTCGGTAGCAGTAGCCCACCACCCTTGCTGGTCATTACTTAGTACTTGGTCCCCGGTTCTAAAAACCAGAACATTTCTTTTTGATTCAACAGCCCTGTTAGCTCTCCACAGTCACACAAGACTCACCTACACTCTTCCCTTTGTTGGGACTCTCTTCCCACAGCTCCCCATGCCTACCAGCCCTTCTTGTTCAATTCCAACCCTGAAGGCAGGCAGGTTCTTGTCTGACCCCACAGGCCAGAAGAAATCTCCTACCATGCATCTTTCTGGGCCCTGCACACACTGCATTCCTCCAGGAAAGGATGGGTGTATAGTTACGTTGGTGGGCTTCTAAGGTACCACTTAGGTGACACTTAAGCTCCACAGGATAATGGCAGACTATCATACTTCAGTAAGGCAGCTCTGTTTTGAAGAGGGAAAAGCTGAGTGTACTCTATAATGTTGGCAAAAGTTAGCCTTGCCCAGGTCTCCAACACTGGCTGGTTTATTGTGTCAGTTAAATTGGACAAGAACTCTGAGAGACGACCATCACTTTCCATCTACTTACAGGGATACAGGTTTGTGAAGGTCAAATGATTTACCCAAGGTCATACAGCTAAGAAGCAGTCAAGATTTAAATTCAGGCACGCCTGGGTTCTCAAGTCTAGATTCAGACTATACGGAATGACAGTCCTTTGTGCTGTCCCCCAGGACCCCACCACTTACACCCGAAAAGAAGCTGCCTGATGTGAGGGCAACTTCCACAGTTTTAAGGACCGAGCCAAATCAGACATAAAACTAGAAACAGTACCATCCGTCCAATGAAGCCTTCCCTTAGCTCAGAAGGCAGGGTGGAGGACAGACTGCAGAAGCTCCAATCCTCACTCTACCCTCTCAAGAAAGAGGTGAAGGTATCCTTCAGAAACAAACTACACTAAAAACAGCAAACAATCAACTCTGGACCTAAGCTCCCATGTAGCTGCACCTGATGGGCTCTCTGCTTCCCATGGGCTTCAAAGGAAAGAACCCTGCAGCCACATGGCTCTCCTAGCATGTCAGCGCGGCCACACACTCAAGTAAAGTCTCTCTTTGTAGGTTTCCCACTAGAGAATACAAGAGTGGCAACTGAGTATGCCCATCATCATCTTAGAACTCCTGTGGATTAACAGACCCGGGCATGACTGGTGGCTTCCACGCAGAGCACCAGGGAGACGCTCTGGCCCTCCTGGTGATATGCTGTAGTAGGCCCAGGGGCTAGCCTGTTACAGGGCTGTTAAAGCTACAGCAACATACTCATTTCTACATTTCACCACTCTTAAAACACTCAGACAGCTGAATATGCTAAACACGAGTTAGCAATCAGCAGAAGCCAGTCTGTGGAAGACTATACAACACAATCTACTGTCACTGTTGTCAACACATGAACTTCACGTTCCAATGTACATTTTCAACTTTTGAGAAGTTCAAATGTCTTATTTGGTAAAAACAGATACTACATCCATTGCCACAGGCCAGATGTAGTGGTGATTCATATCTTAAATCTCAGCACATGGGAGACAGAGGCAGGAGGATCTCTGTAAGTTCAAGGTCAGCCTGGTCTACATAGCAAGTTCCAGGCCAGTCAGAGCTACAGAATGGTACCTTGACACAAACAAACAAATAATCAGATAGACAGAAAACCATGGCATGTTCTTTGCTGTTTATGCATACAGAAATGTGAAATTCGAAGACACTTTCCCATGTAAATTGTATAGTAGTAAACAGGAATAGGACGAGTCACTTTAACAATGGGATACGCAACAGAGAAGCAGACAGGAGTTGTACAGAAGCACAGGAGAGGGAGCACGTAGCCTGCAGCAGAATGGCAAAGGCTGGAAAAGAGAAAATGGCAGGGAATCCCACAGAGAGCAGAATCCTCCCAGTGGAGAAAACCCAGTGTGGACAAAGGGCAGCAGAGTCTAAGACAGACAATGTGGGAGCGGCTAAATGTGAGGCTGCATAAGAGAGCAAGGATGTAGAGCATGTAGGAACCAGATTCTTGTCCGAATTGGTTTAACAACTGCAGCCATTTTTAAAACAACTATGAAGACAAAATCCTAAGACTCACACCTTTGGTCTTTTATCGTTTTTTTGTTCACTATAGCTCCAATCTTTCTCCTTTCAATAGGGGAAGTATCTGTGGCACTTGGGGCTATCTGTCTGCTTTCATGATCCCATAGCCTGGTCTTGAGCTCTGGTCCCTGCCTCCACCCTGGTCTCCTGATTAGCAATGTCCTCCTAATCAATGTAGATTTAGGAACAAATCCCTCCTAGGATGCTCACAAGCTGTTAAGAAAAATGGAGTCAGAGCGCACTAGCACTCCCAACAAATCAGACCAATCTGCCCCAGCCAATCCCAGCCCAGCCTCCAGTCTGTAAAATTCAACAGCTGCCACTCAGCTTAGCCTACTGGTACTTCTGCATGCTCAGACTGTGTCCAGTTCTCTGTCTCCCTGGGGAGTGTCTGCAGAGGAAGCTAGGAGACATGCCACAGTAACTGACTGCTTGTGGGTGAGCCGGGGACTCTTCCCAGGGACTGGGCAGAACAGCCAGTAATCAGCTGCTCCTTACCGAGGCACTGGAGGGGCCACAAGCTGACTTTATGACACACAGGAAGACTAAATGTTTGAAAAGTTGTGCTCAACTTTGGTAGAGCAAAGGTTTCTTGTTTTCTGTTGGTAACACCTGATTCTCAGCCAGGGTTCCTCCTAATTCTGCTGCCTCCTCTCCACAACCAAATTTAAGCTTTTCCCCAAAGATAGCACTAACAGCTAACAATTGAAGGGAGGGGTCCTGAGCACTTAAGCTGATGGTTTCCAAAGCAGCAAGGTGCACAAGGCAGAGTTAATGTCTGGGGCCCAAACAACGGTATTTATGTACACAATCATGAGTTCATAGTTCATAGCTGCACTCCTCATTCAGGCCTGAGCAGTTACTTAAGCACACCTCGGTCTTCTGAGGGGCTGCATATTTCTCTTACGTTTCTAGCATGCCAAAGCATCCTTCTCACAGAGCTCAGCAGCCTACTCAGGCTGTAACGAACAGTGCATACTTTCAATTATTAGTAACCACCGTAACTTAAAAGAATTCCCAGGACAAGGACTTAAATTGATAACTTCCGTATCAATGTCCAATAGGAAGAGTATCCACACTAGGCAAAAGCCAGAAACAACCACATACCCAGCAGGAGAGAAATGGCTAAACAAATCATGGTGAATTTATGCAATGAGATATACAGCCATAAAAAAGAACGAAGTATTGATAAATGCTAAAATATAGATGAACCTTGACAACATCATGCCAAATACAGTTAACCAGATACACACACGCCAGTATGATATGGTGCCCTTCACGTGAAGTCCCCAGAGGAGTAAGAGTCAAAGACAAGAGGTTGAAATCAGTTTGCCGAGGGCCCGGGAAGGGAAAGAGTAACTGTTCAACGGGAACAGGGCTTCTACTGGGGTAACGGGAAAATTCTGGCAACAGGTGGTAGTTGTAGATTCACAAACAATGAGTGTATTTCATGCTTCTGAATCATATACCTAAAGTGGAATGTTTCACCATGCATATTTCACCCAATAAAAATTTTGAAAATGGAGGCTGGAGAGATGGCTCAGTGGTTAAGAGCACTGACTACTCTTCCAGAGGTCCTGAATTCAATTTCCAGCAACCACATGGTGGCTCACAACCATCTGTAATGGGATCTGATGCCTTCTTCTGGTGTCTCTGAAGAGAGTGACAGTGTCCTCATATACATAATGAATAATTCTTAAAAATTTTTGAAAATGCTCTTTTTGTCTTATTTAGTAACATGGTGTCTTGCCTGTGCTGAACTCCAAGTGTGACTAACGTTTACTTTGATCAGTCACCAAACATCAAAGAGAGGATTCTCTGCTTTGCCAAGAATAACTACTTTATCTTTAGAACAAGGTCCACGTCTCTGAAATCTGCCTGAAAGATAAACTGAGCACTTAGAGTCAATCGATGGAGAAAGCCAGTCAGGTTTAGAGAATATACAGTGTGATCTATAAAGCTCTGGCCTAGCTGCTTTAACACAGGCACACATGTGGTACCAAGGCCACAGGGCCCATGGATTTCTTCTGTACTGGGGCCTCAGGCAGGGCCCAACTTCAGAATTCTTAGACCATATAGCTTAAACTGGATACCAGCTAAGTGTTGGACAATAGAGTTTACTATGGAAAGTCTGTTACTAATGCATGTTGTGGGTAGTAAGTTCACCCAAACTTAACATCATGGAGATGAGACGTAAGCTCCAATACCTACGAAGACACTAGAGGCAATGCATCAGGATGTGGAGTGTCAGCTGCATCAGGATGTGGAGTGGCATCTGGCTACAGAACCACAGGGATTCTGTCATTGTTCACACTATCAGAGGTCCCTCCTCATCTGTTATAAAGGTGGATGGTTCTGCAACGGTGTATCTGGATCAGCAACACCACTTATCACATTGGTGCTGATGGGAGATGCAGAGTACTAGTCTCTTTTCTAGACCTTCTGAATCAGAAATTCCAGATGAGTAGTCCAATGAGCTAAGCTTTACTGAGCCTCTCAGACAGTAATCAATTTCTCTCTCTCTTCTTCTTCTTTTTTCTTTTCTTTTTAGTTTTGAGACAAGGTTTTCTCTCTATGTACTCCTGGCTGGCCTCAAATTCTGAACTCTGTGAGGTCAAACTCACAGAGTTCAAGGCCAGCCTTAATTCCTTCACCCTCCTGCCTCTGTCACCCAAGTGCTGGGATAAAGGCATACACCACTGGGCCCAACCAATTCCAAAGCACTGTGTAAATGAAAGTTCTCCTTGCAGCTTTTATTCTCTTGGTAAAAGCACCTTCAAAGGTAATGACCATGCTCTAATTTACATCAGAATAATGAAGCTAGCTTTTGAATTCTTAGAGAACAAGCGGTCTCTTGTCACTCAGCAGGAAGGAAAGTTTTCCTGGGAAAGCAATTTTGAAGAAATTTTGCTTAAATAATTGAAAACTGCCTTGCCCAGAGACTCTGAATTTACCCCTGCACTGGGCAAAAGGGAGGGACAGAGGGACACAAAGGAGGTCATGGAAGGTCCAGGAGCTGTGTTGGTCCACAGCGATGGAAGAAAGATCCATGGCTGCAGTGACTTGTCCATGTTGATGGGGTTAGGACATGCAGCAAAACCAGATCTTATCTCACTGGGCCGTTTCTGTTTCCTCTCCAGCCAAACTCCATTCAGCTTTATCAAGGATTCTTTTCATAACAGGCAGATAAACGTTGACTTTCCAACACCCTTCTTGTATAGATTATTAAAATCAGACGGCAGCTGTAAAACCCTATGAGGTCTTCATTTGATGTTCTGAACAGGTAAAGTTCACCGCGAGCGTTCCTAGGAAGCATGTCCCTTAAAATGTTACAAACAAGTCCCAACTTTCAAAGAAAATAAAATGGCAGAATTACTTATCTGAAGACTCACAAACTAGAGGAAGAACCACTGCTCTTCTGAAAAGGGCAGCTTCAATAATAACACTAAAAACCCAACACCCAGACACACTGTACCCAATAGCTCTCCATATTTAAGGGAGTTAAGTCCATATTAGTGGCAGAGAGGAAGGAAGATAAAATGGGGTGGAGTTTGCCCTTACCACAGGGCATCTGTGCCAAGCGGCTATGGGTCTCAGAGTCAGGGTGCACATCAGTCTAGCCAGGGAGACGCTGTTAGCAGTACAGCTCTTTCCCCGCAACAATGAAGTTATCTGTGTTAACAGCATACCCAGAAAAAAAAAATATGAATCTGCTTTTCTATAAAACTTGATTAAAAACATTTCCAACTATATAGTCACTTGCACAGTTATCAAAATGCACACACACTTCCCTTGGCATCTAAAGTGCCTTCAGGCTTCTGCGGCTTGTCTGTTGGACATAACCATTTCCATGAGGGCTGTTCACACTCTTGTCAGCATCAGCTTTTCCCTTCCCCCTCTCTGCACCCTTCTCTCCCTTTTTTTTCCCCAGAGTCTTTTTAGGCTTGGGCTCCAGGTATCAGGATGTTAGTTCAGCAGACAACCCTGCAAATCTTCTCTGTGGCTTGTCAACACCTTCACTTCCTCTCCCTTAGTGCTTCATCTCACCCTTCTGTAGGTGTCAGGCTGGTGTTGGTAAGATTAACACACAGAAGGCAGAGGCACAAATGTGCATGACTTTTGCCTTGTTCTCTTCATAATGCTTCCATATTTTTTCTTAAATAAACAAAGGGATTGCCCAGCCTGGAGAAAGAGTAAACTGAATGTAATCTTGTTAATAAAAAGGGTGTTGGCTTCAAGAGTGACCGCAATTGTTAGCTTTGATTGTAACTTAACATAGCCTGGAGTCATTTGAATGAAAATCCTCAATTCAGGAATAACCTAGATCAGATTGGTCTGTGGGCATGTCTACTATAGACTGTCTTGTTTATTAATTGATGCAGGAGGGCCCAGTCCACCATGGACAGCACCATTCCTTAGGCAAGTCATCCTAGAACTATGTTAAAAAAAAAGATAGCTAAGCATGTAGTGGCGGGGGGCAGCATTCATCTATGGTTTCTGCTTCAGATTCTTGCTCTGACTTACCATGTAAAACAAAATTAGCCCTATCTACTTCCTGGCCAGCAAAAGAAAGAAAAACTCAAACAGTGGGACATAAGGTGAACCAGGCTATGAAGGCATCTAGTCCTACTCTCTCAGAATAAACCCTTTAAAGAGGAGAGATAGAGACAGTGATAGAGATAGGGATAGGGACAGGGATAGGGACAGGGACAGGGATAGGGATAGGGATAGATAGACAATAGGTAGATAGTAGATAGGTAGATAGACAGACAGACAGATCTGACTCTAAACCATTATTAGCTACAGCAAGATCTAATTTTTAGAAACAATTTTGGCCTGAACACAAGTTCTCTGAGCCTACTCAACCCAAGTTCCTGTCATAATGTCCTAGTCGATGACAGGACCCAAACAGGGTAAAGAAACAGACAGGGCATGCCTTGGCTACTTCATGCCATTGCAGGTAACTGTTTCTAAAGATCTTCAGCAGAAGTGATATTGCCATAAGTGTGCTGGCTTGCCTTTATCATCTTCTCCACAAAGACAAAAGGATCCAATTTCAACTCATAGGCCTTTGTCCGCACGAGAACTGCCTTCTCATGCAGAGAGATTTTCAAAGTATCTACTGGTTTTGGGGACATGCTAATTTTCTGACCCACAATGGCAGCCAGAAGGGGAGGCAGCAAAGGTGTAGCAGAAGGGAGGGGTCATTACTACCCAAGGACACAGAGAACATGAAGACATTCCACCTAACACGGGCCAGGGCCCTGCAGGACATGACCAGGTCAGATTATCTTTAATCTGGGGTTTCAGAGGCACCTCCACCATCTCTCTCCTGATAGAGTTAGTGTCATTGCTGCCTAAGTGAGCTGCTTCAAAGATTCTCTTAATGCCCATGCCACATTCAACAACCCCCCCCCCAGAGATTCCCTGGAAGGCTTTACCTCCATGATGGGACTGGATGCCAGGACCTTCTCTTCAATGTTGGTATCACTGGCTGAGCCACCAACTGTGGCAAAATAGCGCATGGCATACTTGGCTGAAACCGTCTTCCCTGCTCCAGACTCTCCGCTGACTATGATGGATTGGTTCTTTTCATCTCTGGAAGGGAAAGAGCTCTGGTCAGTCACTGGCCATGGCAAGGTGCTGCTGCCTGCCAGGGACTCTGATGCGGGCCAACCTGGTAAGAGGCATCTCTTGGGGATAAATGTGGATAACTGTAAAGTGTGCCCTCACTCATAGACCTACAGAAGCTCTGTAAATGGGAGAGGCCAGGCCCTCCCTCCATCACTAAGTGGAAGTATGGTGTACCCAGTGGCTTATCCTACAAAGAGGGACACAGTGCCTATTATCCTAAGAACATATACATCCTTTTGTCTTTGTGCCTCCAACAGGCCTACTCCATGCCTCTGAATTTCCTATAAGTTTTCTGATAAGAACAAGGGTCTTCTCTTACATTGAGTCTAGCTGCCATGCTGATTGTGCGTATTTGAAGAGGTTTGCTTATACAGATGTATTGTACAAGGGTCATGCTGCCACCCTCACTGCAACAAAAGGGATGAGAGGCTAAAGTCCAGTCAGGAAAAGAGGATACCTCACGCAGGATAAACAACGACAGTTATTCTTTTATAAGACAATGTAGGAACACATAAGAAATGAAAGGTTCATGCCTTTATGTCTCCCAAGGAACAGAGGTATTCAAAGCAGAGAAGAATGACAAACATTTGGGACACAGCTGAGGGTAGGAAATTGCTTAAGGTGGTGAACTTGACCATACCCCTTCAGTTCACAAAACCACAGGAAAGGCTGACATTCTACTTCCAGTTGTTGGCCCTGACATCAGTGCCTGGTACCACATATGGACTTGACACCAACTGGTGAACTATAAGCAGCTTAGGGCTCAGTGGATCTAATCCCCTCCTTTCCTAAATGGATGCATGCTTAAAACTCAGGATTCCTAGTGCTAGGTCCCATGGTTTCCTAGGCAGAGTGGGTAACAGAATAACTTAGAGGCCTCCATGATGAGCTACCCTACCTTGCTAGTTTTTCTCAGCATGAGTGAAAAAAAACCATCAGCTGCCTCCAGGTCAGGACAAACTGGACAAGGGATGGTGATGTAAAGGAATTTGTCCTACTTGAGAGAGACAGAGGGACTAGATAGATAGAAGAGACCAGCTGGAGGTGTGAGTGCTGAGAAGAGTCATGTGAAGGACTTGGAGCAGGGAGTGGGGTGAACTGGATCCACAAACCAGTCCCCACAAGCACAGAACACTGAGGACTCAGCTCACAATCATGGATGCTAAAACAGGGACCCTTGGGGTACTGGGAACCAAATCCAGGTCTTCTGCAAGAGCAACAAGTGCTCTTAGATGCGGAACCATCTCCCCAGCCTCCATTTCCATCCATTTGTTGTTTACTTTTTTGCTCTACATTCAATCTACTGGGCCTCAGAGAGAATGTTAGGTGTCACCTGTCACCTCTGCTATCAATACATTTATCATTGGGTCCTTAGAGAACTGATAGAAGCACAAGCATTCAAGATGGCTGGGAGCATAGCCTGGCTTTTCACCCTGGCCTTTCTGCATGACTTGGGCCACCTACCTGGTGTTACCCTGAGAGCTCCCTATGTGTAACAAGAACCAGACTGGGCAGCCTAAGACATTGGAACCTTGCTCAGCTTTTATCTCATAATAAGAGGATGAATGCAGGATGTACCGAACTTTGGTCATCAGCAGAGAGCCACTTGGAAGGAAGAGGTACATACTGTTCCATTTAACAAGGATCCAGGGGTGTAACAAAGAACAAAATAGCTCGGCTGGAGAGGGAACACGCCAGTGCCCCAGGCTTCCTGCTGCACCATAGCACATCCAGGAAATTGAACAGCAAAGAGATCTGGGTAAAACATCTTCCTTGACAAAGACAAATAAGGCACAAAGCAGGGATCCTTATCACCTTCCACTGTCAGTGTCAAGGTGCCAATTACTTTGCACAACACTGAGGAACAACCGAGCATGTGTTGCTCAAAGAAGAGAATGATACACACAAGAGGTAAGATGCTTTAGGAGACAAGCAGCCTAGTCCAAAGATAAGTGGCCAAGAAGGAAAAGCAAAGGGGCTAGTTTATGTAACAAGTGTCAAGAGTTAAAAAAAAGATTAAAGGAGTGGAATCATCAAAACCTAGCAGGTTGAGGAGGCAAAGACATAACCAGGGGTTCATCAACATCACAGCTATCGATCCTCGACTTTAAAAATCTTCGCATTGTCCTGGCAACAAGGCTCAGTCAACAGAGTGCTCCCTGCACAAGTGTGAGGACCCTAGTTTATATGCTCAGTATGCACATAAAAGGCTGATGAGTGTGTGCACCTGTAATCCCAGCACCGCGGAAGCAAGGACAACAGCATCCCTGAGGCTGGCTGGCCAGCAATGCTAACCAATGGGTGAGCTTCAAAGTTAGTGAGATCCTGTCTCAAAGAAGGAGTTGGAGAATAATTTAGGAAGGTAGTGTACACACATACACACACACACACACACACATGCATACACACACATGCATACACATACATACATATACACACATATATACACACACAGAGACATACAAACATGTATACACACACATATATACACACACTCATACATACACACATGCATATACACATACATGCACACATAAACACAACCATATATAAACATACACACATATAAACACATAGGCACACACACATACACATGCACACACACATATACCATATAAATGCACACACACATACACACATGCACACACATATACCATATACATGCACACACACACACATACACACACCTCATACATACATATACACACACCATACACACACTATACACACGCACACACACATATACACACCATAAGCATATTTGCGTGCACACACACACCATATACTCATCCACACACACATACATACACATACACAAATACATACACATACATACACATACACCATACATACACCATACACACACATACACACACACACACACACACACACACACAGTGTTTCTGGATATGAGTCTTTTTAGTGATAACTACTGGAAGTAACTGATTAATCTAGTGACTGTAAACACAGGCTCTCCATGTAGGTTCAAGTCAGATAAACCCACTTTTTAGACCACCAAGTTCCTTTGAATAAGCCTGTGAGGTATGTACACTACTGTGTATCCACCCACAGGATGATGGGACAATACCGCCTTCCATTTAGTTCTTCCTATGTTAGCTGTCCTCCTGACTCAGAACCGGAATCCAGGATACAGACATTAAAACAGATTGAGTTTGAACTCAATTGTATTACTGATGGCTATCTGACTTTGCACACGGTTGTTAACTTAGCCAATCACTTCAGTATCTCTTAAGACTGAGATCCTTGAGCCCTAAGCTTTGCTGAGTGGCTGCCTTGATTTGGTACTGAAGTCTCTAATCTATCCTTACACCCTTGTCAGATTAACTTTCTAAATCGATGCTCTAATTACATTTTTGCCTTTTCAAAGAGTTAAATAGCTATCTGCTCCTCATCAGATCAAGTCCAGGGTCCTTAGCTGAGCATATGGACCCCGCTACAATATATAACGCTGCAGCCATTAACGAGTTTGGTGCAAACTAAAAGAGTGTCAAGTGTGTTGAGCCCTGGGTGCTGACAGGCTCTGTAACTCAACCATGTTACAGAGGAAACTCTGTGCACTGCATATCTGCTGCAAGATTATATGATGGATTTGTGAATCAGCCATATTGACAGCTTAGTCTATGTGCAGTGTACCCCCCCATGCCAGGACTGCATCTAGGGCACTCCTTCTACCTGGTGTTTCTTCAACAAAGACCCCCGGGAGTCATCCCGACTCCCTGCCCTAGGCATCTCAGAAGACGTTGTTTCTCATCTCTTGAAGTCTAGCGCCATTTCTTTTTGTTCATTTTCTAATACGTTGCCACATTTCATGTGACACTGACTGCAGTCCTTGATGCATGGCATTTGTTTGCATCTTTCTCTGTCATCCTGTCTTTTCATTTCTAAGTAGAAAGCTACAACATGGGTTCTATGTAAGCACCTCCATTTTTTTTTAGCACCTCTATTTTTGACATTCAATAATTCTACAACTCATATTAACAGGGGCCGTGAGTAAGAGAACACTAGTTCCCAATTTTAGGACATTTAGGGATGGCGTGAGGATACACGCTTGAATATAGATTTCTACACAACATCCTCCAAAAATGCAGCCAGTGCTGGCTCCAGCCATTCAGAGAGACTTACAGAGATGACTTAGATGGTAACTTGAGTCAATCTGCTTTTCAATAAATCTCTTTCTCTTACCCCAGTAAAATTCCCTTTAGAGAAGGCAAACCATGGCCAAGAAATCTAATACCCAGATGTTAGAAAAAGTCCAAGCTGTCTCTAGGATGACATTCACTAACTGCAGACAGGAAATGCCCTGAAAGGCTTCTGCCTCACACAAGAGCAGAGGATTCTGGGATATACAACTCAGCTATACTGTAGCTTCTGGTAAAATGTCCAACACCAGCATATACACCTGCCTCTAATGCCAGGCACTGTCAAATTCACCTGCCTCTAATGTCTGACACCAGCATATACACCTGCCTCTAATGCCAGGCACTG